GCGGTCGTCACAGGGTTACACCTTCAGCCTTGGTTCCGGCTCTGTTTCCTGGCGGTCTACCCACTCGTCTTCTATTCTCAGCTCCAGTTGTGAGGCTGAGATCTACGCAGGGGCCATGGCTGCAGAGGAGTTACGCTGGCTCACCTACCTGCTGACTGGCCTGGGAGAGCCGCCTCGTTCTCCTCCAGTTCTGTACGTAGACAACAAGGCCATGCTGGCCTTGTGTCGGGAGCACAGACTGGAGCACAGAACGAAGCACATTGCTCTTCGCTACTTCCTTGCTCGTGAGCTGCAGCAGCGTGGTCAGCTGCGCCTTGCTTACGTGGCCTCTTGGGCCAACACTGCTGATATCTTCACCAAGGCACTTCAGCCTTGTGATCATCAGCGCTTCTGTACTATGTTCGGTCTTGTGCCTACTTGGCCTCACTTGCTCACGTCTTGACTTTGCTTGTACTGTGATATATATATATATATATACATGCACTTGCATGTTTACCTTTCTATATATATAATCCTGCATGTGAACTGGCCTTGTGGCCTTTGAACTTGTGCTCGGAATGTGTGGTGACGTTGTGATCCACCCTGAGCTTGCTGTGCTTTGCTTGACAGGTCTTGTGACCTCTTGTTCTCCCCCACTTTGCCTATGGGGGTGTGTCTAACATTCATCATATAGCTTGTCTAGGCTATAGTGGGGTAGACACTAAAGGGTACAGTTTCCTAGGGTTTCCTACTTGTACCCAACCTTGTTCTAGTTCATCCATTTTTCCACTTTCTTCACAAGCCCCGCGCCCGGCCCCGTCGACCCCAAGCCCGCGCCCGGCCCGTCGACCACTAGCCCGCTCTCGGCCCCCCGTCGACCCCTAGCCCCGCGCCCGGCCCCGTCGCCCCAAGCCCGCACTCGGTCCCGGTCGACTCCTAGCCCCGCGCCCGGCCCCGTCGCCCCTAGCCCGCGCTAAGACCCCGTTGACCCCTAGCCCGCGCCCGGCCCGTCGACCCCTAGCTTGCGCTCGGCCCCTCCCGTCGACCCCTAGCCCCGCGCCCGGCCCCGTCACCCCTAGCCCCGCGCCCGCCCCCCCCCCCCCCCCGTCGACCACTAGCCCCGCGCCCGGCCCCTCCCCCCGTCAACCCCTAGCCCCGCGCCCGGCCCCGTTGACCCCTAGTCCGCGCGCCCGGCCTAGTTGGCCCCTAGGCCCCAGGCCCCTCGGCCCCTTCTCCTTACTGTCACTACTGCTGCTACTACTACAGCTTCTACTACTGCTTCTGCTGCTCCTGCCGACTGCATAGCTATGGCCTCGCTTCGGTTTCTCGCATTCGATCATGAGGGTAGACCGGTTCAGTTTGACACGTGGCTCGACGACCTGCAGCTGTACCTCTTTAGCGATATTAAGGACGGTGTTTCCCTGTTTGACCACGTGTCCGGTGCCGCTGCTGCCCCTCCCACCACAGCTGACGGTGCGACTCGCTCACAGTGGCTTTCTCGCGACACAGCTGCCCGCTTAGCCATTCGCAACCACCTGCCGTTAGCTGAATGCGCTCACTTAGGACAGCACAGGACCGCACAGGCACTGTACGACGCTGTAGTCGCTCGCTACTCCTCCCCTGCCACTGCTGCTCTAGGCCGCCGACTTCTGCCCTACCTGTTCCCCGACCTATCCGCCTTTGCCACAGTCGAGGGCCTAGTTTCCCACATTCGCGCTAGCGACGCTCGCTACCGTGCTGCCGTCCCTGCTGAGTTCCTTGACAAGAACCAGCCCCCGATGTTCATCACCCTCTACTTCATAGTCACTCGCCTCCCTGACTCTCTTCGCTCTGTCAGGGACCACTTCCTCTCTCTTGACCCCACCTCCCTCACTGTTGACCTCCTCGAGCAACATCTCCTTGCAGCGCAGTTGCTGTAGTTGCTGCTCGTGGCACTCCGCACCTCTTTGAGGGGTGCTCCCCCTCCTTTGAGGGGTGCTCCCCCTCCCCCCTTGCCCCCTCCTACGCCTCTGCTGCTGCAGACGTCTCTATTGCTAAGGACGTCGGGGCTGCTTCTGCTAGTGCGAAGTGCCACAGCAGCAAGGGCAAGGGTGGCAAGGGTGGTGGAGGTGGCGGTGGTGGTGGAGGTGGCAGTGGGAGTAGTGGTGGGGGCAGCAGTGGAGGTGGTGGCGGCGGTGGGACTGGATGAGGGAGTGGGGGCTCTGGTGGCGGCGGTGGAGGCAGTGGTGGGAGTGGCGGCAGTGGCGGAAGTGGGACTGGTGGCGGTGGGACTGGCGCTCGGCGTGTTGATTCTGGAGGTGGCCAGCGTCAGCAGCAGCAGCGTCGGAGCGAGACCCCGTCGCCCCAGCAGCTTCGTTAGTGGTTGTTTCAGCGTGGGGCGTCTGGGGGTAGTGTGAGCTGCCCGTATGTCAGTCGCACGGGTGACGGTGCTGGTCAGACATGCGGGAAGGCGCACACTCAGCACCGCTGCTTCTCCCGTCTCGACGACGCTTGGCGAGCTGAGTTTGGTGACAAGGTCGAGCGCCCTCGCAGGGCAGATCTGCTTAGGTCTGGAGTTGCTACCTTTGACCTAGACTTTGATGTTATCCTTACTGCTATGTATGCTTTGTCTGTTAGTGCTGAGGGTGACTGTTACCGGTGTGTGCCACCTGACCCTGGTATAGCCGCTGCTGCTCTAGGTGCTAGTGAGTCTGGTACTCTCCCTGGTACTGCGCCTGCTGAGGCCTTGCACACCTTCACGTTGGACTCAGGCGCCTCGCGCTATTTCTTTCGTGACAGCACCACTCTCACTCCTCTCCCTGCACCTGTCCCGGTCAGACTGGCTGACCCCTCCGGGGGACCGCTAGTGGCCCGTTCCTCCAGAGTCCTCCCGTGTTCGGCAGTTCCGTCCGGCTCACTGTCCGGTCTTCACCTCCCCTCGTTCTCTGCGAACTTGGTGAGTACCGCTGCCCTCCAGGATGCGATGGTCACTACCACCACTCCTGGGGGTCAGCGTGTGACGATCTACACGTGCACACAGACGGGGCGTCACCTGGCCACGTTCACTCGTCGGCCAGGGTCGAGTCTGTACACACTCGCTACCGAGCCTCCTCAGGTAGCTGTGTCTGCTCAGGTGTCCGCGTCAGGCCAGGTAGCCGCCTCTTGCTCGTGTCGCCTCTTGCTCGTGTCGCCTCCTGTCGCACCAGACTCTTCTGTGGCACCACCGCCTGGGTCACCCCTTCCTGCCACGCCTTCGTGGCATGCACTCTCGTCTTCTTGTCTCTGGTCTTCCCAGGTCCCAACCTCCCCTGCCGCCCTCGCCTGCCCCACCCTGCCTTCCTTGCGTCGAGGGGCGGCAGCGCGCCGCTCCTCACTCCTCCTCGTTTCCCCCGACGACTGCTCCCCTGCAGACTCTCCACATGGACGTGTGGGGCCTAGCCCGCGTCAGTGGACAGAGCCGCGAGCGCTACTTTCTGCTGGTCGTTGACTACCACACGCGGTACACCACGGTTTTCTCCTTGCGCAGCAAGGGTCAGGTCCCTGATGTCTTGATCCCTTGGATCCGCACGGTCCGTCTCCAGCTCCGCAAGCGCTTCGGCCAGGACCTTCGTGTCATGCGTCTGCACTCTGACAGAGGTGGTGAGTTCTCTGCCAACCTCTTGCGGGACTTTTGTCGTGGGGAGGGCATTCTCCAGTCGTTCACGCTTCCGGACTCCCCTCAGCAAAATGGGATTGCTGAGCGCTGCATTGACTTAGTCATGGAGGTCACTCGTACCTCCATGATCCATGGGGCTGCTCCCCATTTTCTGTGGCCGTTTGCGGTCCGGTACGCTGCGCATCAGCTCAACCTCTGGCCCCGTGTCTCCTTGCCGAAGACCTCGCCCACACTGCGTTGGACGGGGGAGGTTGGCGATGCGTCGGTGTTCCGGGTCTGAGGATCTCGTGCCTTTGTTCGCGATACATCCGCGGGCAAGCTCTCCGCCTGTGCTATCCCCTGCGTCTTCCTTGGCTTTGTCCCTGACGCGCCGGGCTGGCAGTTTTACCACCCCACCTCGCGCCATGTCTTCCCCTCTCAGGACGTCACTTTTGACGAGTTGGTTCCCTTTTACCGTCTCTTCCCCTACCGCTCTGCCCCTCCCCCGCCCCCGCTGCTCTTCCTTGCTCCCGGTCTTCCTCCGGTAGACCCCCTCCCGCCCCAGGGTCCTGCTCCCTCAGGTGTGTCTCAGGTAGACCCTCTCCTTGGTCCTGCGCCCGTTCAGGTAGCTGTCGGCTCACGTACTGCTAGAGGTGCTGTGTCTGCGGGTGCTGCGTCTGGGGGTGCGGAGCCTGGGGGTGCGGAGTCTGAGGGTGTTGAGACTAGGGGTGCTGAGCATGGGGGTGTTGAGACTGGGGGTGCTGAGCCTGGGGGTGGTGAGCCCGAGGGTGTTGAGCCTGGGGGTGCTGCGTTGGAGGGTGCGGAGTCTGGAGGTGCTGAGCCTCAGGGTGCTGCTTCGTCTGGAGGTTCTGCAGGTGCTTCGCCGAGACTGTCTTCGCAGCAGCTGCGTGAATGGCTTGTTCGGCGCGCACGCCTTTGGAGTGGGGCTACCAGAGCTAGAGGTTCTGGAGCTGCTGGAGCTGGAGGTGCTGGAGTTGCTGCTGGAGCTGGTGTTACTGGTGGTACTGCGGCCACTGGTCCTGGAGGTGCTCGTATCCGGGGTACTGGAGCTGCCGGGACTGGTGGTGTTGAGGGTGCTGGAGCTGGTGACCCTACGGAGTCTAGATCTACTGGTACTGGTGGCTCTGGCGCTGGTGGCGCTGGAGCTGGAGGAGCTGGAGCTGGAGGCATTGGTGCAGGAGACGCTGGAGTTGGAGGCCCTGGTGTTGGAGGTGCTGGAGCTGGAGGAGCTGCTGCTATTGACCCTGGTGGCACTGTGCGGCCGCGACCGTACTTCGTTCCCCTCCTTCAGCAGGTTCTAAGTACCCCGTCTTCTACTGACCTTACTCCTCCCCTCCTGTGTCCCCCGCCTGACCAGTTGCAGCCGCCGTTACAGCCGGCCTCTCCAATGTCTGCTCCTTCTCCTTACACTGAGCAGTCCGGCGGTCTTACAGAGCGTCGTGAGCCTGCGTCTCGTCCTGTCTTGCCTGTTCGCACTGCTCGTCATGTTCCTCGTTCGCGTCCTCCTCCTGTCCCTGGCACGCACGCCATGACCCTTCGTTCTTCCTCTGTTCCCCTGCGTGTTCCTCTGCTTGCTCCTCCTGTATCCTCTCTTCCTGAGGTCCCTGACCCTGAGTCTGACCGTGCTCGTGCTGCCAGTCCCATTGTCTCTCATCTCCTCGCCACTGCTGTCACTGACCCTTCGTTTGAGTCTGCTGGTGCGTCTGCTCTCGATGCTGAGCTGCTTGACTTTGCTGCTGCCTGCCGTCTAGACTACACCACTGTTCTCGTTGTTGAGTCTGCGTCTACCAGTCCTCCGTCCATCGGGGGTGAGTGTGCTCTTGGCACAGACATCGTTGAGGACAGGCAGGAGGACTTTGAGTGTCTTGCAGCTGCTGTACCTCGTTTCGCTTCCATGCTGCTTGCCCCTGAGGGAGACCCGGATGCTCCAGACATCCCGACCCCGCGCTCTTACGCAGAGGCGATTATGGGTCCTTACTCCTCTCAGTGGCAGGCAGCCATGGATGCTGAGATGGCATACTAGAAGTCCACAGACACCTACGTCGACGAGGTTCCCCCACTTGGGGCGAACATTGTCGATGGCATGTGGATCTTCAGGGTGAAGCGGCCGCCGGGTTCTCCGGCTGCCTTCAAGGCGCGTTACGTTGCTCGAGGCTTAGATCAGCGACAGGGAGTTGACTACTTCCAGACCTTCTCCCCCACCCTGAAGATGACTACTCTTTGGGTGTTGCTGCACGTCGCTGCTCAGCGTGACTACGAGTTGCTTTCCTGGACTTCAGCACAGCCTTCCTGCAGGGCAGCCTGCTCGAGGAGATCTGGCTGCGCCGACCACCTGGTTTCCTTGGGACGTTTCCTGCAGGTACTTAGTGGAGCCTCCGCCGGCCAGTCTACGGTCTCCGCCAAGTGCCTCGCGAGTGGCACGACACACTGAGGACTACACTTGCAGCTTTTGGGTTTGCTCCTGCTACTGCTGACCCGTCGCTGCTTCTACGCACCGACACCTCGCTGCCGCTGTTCTACGTCCTTGTCTACGTCGACGATCTAGTCTTTGCCACTGCTTACACTGAGGCACTGATCCTTGTGAAGTCGGAGCTGCAGAACAGACACACCTGCACTGACCTGGGTGAACTGCACAGCTATCTTGGCTTGCAGATCACCCGGGACAAAGCTCGGCGCACCATTACCCTGACTCAGTCACACATGGTGCACCTTGGCTTCCAGTTCTCCTCGCCACCGCCCACTCCTCTGTCTACCAGCCACTCGCTCTCAGCTCCACCTTCGGACGAGTCCGTAGAGCCGAGTGGTCCGTACCCAGAGCTTGTGGGTTGCCTCATGTATCTGATGAAGTGCACTCTACCTGACCTTGCGTACCCTCTCAGCCTTCTGGCTCGCTACGTGGCTCCCGGTAGGCACCGAAAGGTGCACTGGGAAGCTGCGAAGAGGGTACTGCGCTACTTGTGCAGTGCGTCAGGGATGGGGCTCGTGCTTGGAGGACGGGGTCCAGTTGTCCTCACCGGTCACGCAGACGCTTCCTGGGTTGACGACTCAGCTATGCAGCGGTCGTCACAGAGTTACACCTTCAGCCTTGGCTCCGGCTCTGTTTCCTGGCGGTCTACCCGCTCGTCTTCGGTTCTCAGCTCCAGTTGTGAGGCTGAAATCTACGTCGGGGCCATGGCTGCACAGGAGCTACGCTGGCTCACCTACCTGCTGACTGACTTGGGAGAGCAGCCTCGTTCACCTCCAGTTCTGTACGTAGACAACAAGGCCATGATTGCCTTGTGTCAGGAGCACAGGCTGGAGCACCGAACGAAGCACATCGCTCTTCGATACTTCCTTGCTCGAGATTTGCAGCAGCGTGGTCAGCTTCGTCTTGCTTACGTGGCCACTCGGGCCAACACTGCTGATGTTTTCACCAAGGCACTTCAGCCTTGTGATCGTCAGCGTTTCTGTACTGTTCTAGGCCTTGTACCTACTGTGCCTCACTTGCTTACTTCTTGACTCTTCTTGTACTGTGATCTCTATACATATGCCTGTATGCTTACACTTGCTAGGTTGTGTTCACTGTATTGCTTGTTCTCCTTTATATAACTCTGCATGTGAACTGGCCTTGTGGTGACGTCGTGATCCACCCTGAGCTTGCTTTGCCTTTCCTGACTGGTCTTGTGACCACTTGTTCTCCCCCACTTTGCCTATGGGGGTGTGTCAAACTTATATGCTATAGTCTGTCTAGGCTGTAGTGGGGTAGTTCATATAGGGTGCAACACTTTTAGGTTTCCTACTTGTACCCACCTGCTTGCTAGTTCAGTCATTTTCTTCCTTAACTATTCTGACATGGTATTCTGAGCAGGTTCCCTCGTGGGAACGTTTTTTTTAGGGCCCACCACGATAACATTTTTTTTTCCTGCCCTGCCTGAAGCGCGCCTCGCGCCTGCCTCACCTGCGCCGTCGCGCGCCCTGCTCTAGTGCCGCCCGTCGCGGCCCTGCCTTCTCGGCCCGTCGCGGCCCTGCCCTAACGGCCCATCGCGGCCTTGCCCTCTCGCCGCCTCGTCGCGGCTCCGACCTTGCCGCCCGCCGCGGCCTGTGCCCTGCCGCTGCTCGTCGCGGCCCTGCCCTACCCTGCCGTCCAGCCGCGGCCCTGCCCTGCCGCAGCCCTGTTTCGGCCTTGCGCTGCTGCGACGCGTTGCGGCCCTGCCCTTCAGCCGCCCCAATCGCGGCCCTGCTCTACCGCCGCAAAGTAGCGGCCCTGCCCTGCAGCCGCCCTAGTCGCGGCCCTGACCTAGCCGCCAGCTGCGGTCCTGCCCTGCACCCGCCCCTGGTAAGCACCCGCGCCGCCCAGCCGAGCCGCGCCGCTCCTCCGAGCCGCGCCGCCCTGCCGCGCCGCGCCGCCAGGAGCCGAGTCGCGCCGCGCAGCCGAGCCGTGCCGCCCTACCGAGCCGCGCCGCCCTGCCGAGCAGCGCCGCCCTACTGAGCTGCACTGCCCTGCCCGCGCTGCTCCTGCTGCTATTGCTGCTTCTGCAGCCACTGCTGCTACTGCTGCTACTGCCGCTATGGCTAGCCCTAATGTTCTTACCTTTGATGCTGAGGGGCGTGCGGTTTACTTTGACGTGTGGGTTGACGACCTGCAGCTCTTTCTTCAGTGTGACTCTAAGGACGGAGTATCCCTTTTCGATCACACGTCCGGTGTCTCTCCTGCACCTGCTGCCACTGCTGACAGTACGGTTTGCTCGCAGTGGACCACTCGTGACGCTGTTGCTCGCCTTCGTGTTCGTAGTCACCAGCCGTCTGCTGAGCGCGCGCACTTTGGCCAGTACAAGACTGCTAAGTCTTTGTATGACGCTGTCGTAGCGCGCCACTCCTCCCCTGCCACTGCTGCCCTCACCCGCCTCATGCTGCCGTACCTGTTCCCTGACCTTGCCCCCTTTGCCACACTCGCTGACCTCACTGCTCACCTCCGCACTAGTGACGCCCGCTACCGCGCTGCGCTTCCCACTGAGTTCTGTGCCAAGAACCCCCCCCCCAATGTACATCAACCTTTACTACCTAGTTACCCGCCTCCCTGACTCCCTTGCTTCAGTCAGGGACCACTTTCTCTCCCTTTGCCCCACCGAGCTCACCGTCGACCTGCTAGAGGAGCGCCTCACTGCAGCTGAGAAGAGTATCATTGCTGTAGGTGCTTCTCGCGGCGACCGTCGCACCCCTTTCTTTGAGGGGTGTTCCTTTGTCCCCCTTCTCCCCTCTATTGCTTCTGCTGCTGCTGTCGACCTCGTTGGCACTGGGGAGGTCGGGGCTGCGTCTGCTCCTAGTGGGAGGCGTCGCAACAGCAAGGGCAAGGGGGGCAAGGGTGGTGGAGGGGACGGTGGGGGCGGCGGTGGAGGCGGTGGAGGAGGCGGAGGGGGTGGCGGTAGAGGTGGGGGTGGTGGCGGGAGTGGGGGCTTCGGTGGCGGCGGTGGGGGTGGTGGAGGCAGCGGCAGCGGCGGTGGAGGCAGCGGCAGCGGTGGTGGAGGTGGCGGCGGCGGTGGTGCTGGTCGAGGTGGAGCCGCGCAGCGTGGAGGCTTTGGTGGTAGCCAGCGCCAGCCGCAGCCGCGTTCCCGTGAGACCCCGTCGGCCCAGCAGCTTCATGAGTGGTACGCTGGGCGTGGGAGGTTTGGGGGTGTTGGTCCCTGCAATTACGTTCTTTGCACCAGCGGGCGCCGTGGGGAGACGTGCGGGCTTCCACACACTACGCAGCGCTACTTCGGTCGCCTGACTGACGCCTGGCGCGCCCAGTTTCCTGACGCTGTTGAGCTCCCGCGCTGGGGTGATCTGCTTAAGCAGAATGTTGCTATCTTTCATCTTGATTTCGATGCTATGCTTGCTGCCATGTATGCTGCGATTGATAGTGCTGAGAGTGACTGTTACCTGTGTGTTCCGCCCGACCCAGGCATTGAGGCTGCTGCTCTAGGTGCTAGTGAGTCTGCTGCTCCAGGTACTAGTGAGTCTGCTGCTCCAGGTACTAGTGCGTCTGCTGCTCCAGGTGCTGGTGAGTCTGCTCTCTCTAGTCCTGCACCTACTGAGGCCTTGCACACTTTCACACTTGACTCTGGTGCTTCGCGCTCCTTCTTTTGCGACAGCACCACGCTCACGCCGCTCAGTCGGCCTGTCGCAGTCTCCCTGGGTGACCCCTCTGGGGGCCCAGTCCTTGCGCACTCTTCTACGGTTCTACCGTGTCCTGCGGCTCCGTCGGGCTTGTTGTCGGGACTCCACCTCCCCTCGTTCTCTACGAACTTGGTGAGTGGAGCTGACCTCCAGGACGTGTGGGTTGACCAGTTCACCCCTGGAGGTCAGCGTGTGACCCACTGCACTTGCTCTCGGACGGGCCGCCACCTGGCCACGTTCACCCGTCGGCCAGGGTCGAGTCTGTACACACTGACTACTGCGTCTCCTCCGGTTACTGCGTCTGGTCAGGTAGCCGCGTCTGGTCAGGTGTTTGCTGCCGCGTCCAGGTCTAGTCCAGCGTCTGCCCCCTGCTTGTGTCGTCCTCTGTCACACGAGACTCTCCTTTGGCACCACCGCCTTGGTCACCCCTCCCTGCCTCGTCTTCGAAGCATGGCCTCCCGTACCCTTGTCTCTAGTCTTCCCCGGTCCCTCCCTCCCCTTCCTCCGGAGCCTGCCCCTACCTGTGTTCCTTGTGTCGAAGGCCGGCAGCGCGCCGCTCCTCACTCCTCCGAGTTCCCTCCGACAGAGGCTACCCTGCAGACTCTCCACATGGATGTGTGGGGCCCAGCCCGCGTCCGTGGACAGGGTCACGAGCGTTACTTCCTGCTGGTCGTTGACGACTACTCGCGTTACACCACAGTCTTCCCCTTGCGCCGCAAGGGTGAGGTCACTGAGGTGTTGATCGACTGGATCCGTGGTGCCCGTCGCCAGCTCAGCGAGAGATTCGGCTCGGACCTTCCTGTCCTGCGTCTGCACTCAGACAGAGGTGGTGAGTTTTCCTCCGACCTTCTGAGGGCTTTCTGTCGTGCGGAGGGCATCCGCCAGACGTTCACGCTTCCGGCCTCCCCACAGCAAAATGGGATTGCTGAGCACCGCATTCGCATGGTCATGGACGTCGCTCGTACGTCCATGATCCATGCGGCTGCTCCCCATGTTCTGTGGACGTTCGCGGTTCCGTACGCTGCGCATCAGATCAACCTTCAGCCTCGTGTCTCCTTGCCGAAGACCACACCTACTCTGCGATGGACGGGGAAGGTTGGCGATGCGTCTGTGTTCCGTGTCTGGGGATCTCGAGCTTTTGTCCGCGATACTTCCGTGGACAAGCTGTCCTCCCGTGCTGTTCCCTGCGTCTTCCTTGGCTTCCCCCCTGACGTACCTGGGTGGCAGTTTTA